ATTCCCCAGCCAGCATGTCTGGCTGGGGAATTCTGGGAGTTGAAGTCCACCCATCTTAAAGTGGCCAAGGTTGAGAAACAGCTTGAAAAAAAAGTTGCATGGCTGCAGTTGCTGTGTGAGAACATAGCTTCCTTGCCAAAGGACCCCCCCTTCCCCTCCCCACTGTGAGCCTTTGAATACCTACTGGCTACCCATTAGAGCAGCGTCTCCTCTAACATTTGCTACATCCACATTTTCAACCCTGGAAGGGCACAGGCCCAAAATGCTGCTGAGCTCAACCCGCCCCCACTGGACACTGTCCAGAGACATTGGATTGCAACGGCCGTAGTCCCTGTGATGAAGTCCACTTATAAAAGGCTGGCGGAACTGCACTTTCATAACATCAGCCGGACGATGCTGCAGCATGGACTGGATTGCAGCCTCGCGTTGCTTTTTGGGTTGAAAGATCTCCAGGAACAGAACAAGAAGGGCTGCTGGAGACGTTACGGGCAGTGAGGTTGCAAGGCGCAGTGAGGCTCAGCCAGCTGTGCGCTTTTCCACGGCATCCCCCAGTGAGAATTATTGGGCTTCTTTCAAGTGGGTTAGTAGGTAACCCTTTTACCCCATGGAGGCTTTTTTTCGAAAAGGAAAAAAAATCTGTTTTGGTATTTCTTCACGTATCTTGGAATTCCCCCGAATTTTGCAGTTCTCTTTTTTTCTTTTCTTTTCTTTTTTGCTTGGGTAAGGATCCAAACCGGCGGGGAGAATTGTCAGCTTTATATAAAGCGGGGAGGGGGGGTGCCCCCGCGCCCAGGATCATCTCCCCCTTCCCCCCACCCCCAAAGGCCTGGGTGAAAGCCAGGTGTGCATGACCCTTTGAAACGCCAGCAGAGTGGGGGCCATCTGGATTTCATGGGGGGATCTCACTCCAGAGAACAGATGCTGCAATAGAAAGGCGCACTTCTGGGGTCCTGATCGATGGCATTGTTTAATCGAAGGAACCTGGAGCGCACCAACCCTGCAGGATTGAATTGGCTGGGCAGATGTTATGGGAGACAGGTGGCCCTTCAAGGAACCGGCTCTATGCCATGGAGGACTTTATAGGAAGCAGTCAGCACCTTGAATCACACCTGGAAGCAAACCGGCAACCAGTGCAGCTCATGAAGCAGAGGTATTACGTGGGCACACCGAGGCATGCCTTTACCACTCGCGCAGCTGCATTCTGGACCAGTTGAAGCTTCTGGGTGGTCTTCAAGGGCAGCCCCACGTAGCGTGCATTGAAGTAGCCAAGCTGTGAGGTGACCAGGACATGAGTGTCTGTCTGAAGAAAAAGCCCTCCCCAGAAGAGGAATCTTTGTAGGTTACATTACTAGGTCGAGGCAATGCTGTCCTTAACCAGGACTGGCCCTCTGTGATGGAATTTGACTGAATTCACACAGCACATCAGACTAGGGTCCAGGAGGGTAAGGTTTTGTCTTGCCGTGTTGTGTGAAAAAGCCATCACGGTAAGCCATTGGGTGGTTTATTTGGAGGGGGGGCATTCCATGTCATATGAACAACCTGGATGTAGGGTTCACCGTGTTGTGTGAGCCGGTCTGCCTGTCCATGTCTTGGTGGTACGATGTGTTTCTCGCCCTGGATTTAGTAGCCCCATCCATGGCTGGCAATTGGTGTAGCCCTTTTAATGTAACCACAGTCACTTCTTACCTCTTCTTGCTTAGCATATTCTATATTGCCCTGATTTTTAAGTTGAACTCTACGTGGTCTGTCCTGTTCTTATCAAATCTAATTTTGCTTTTGGAAAACCTGGGTGTCGTGTGTAACCATGTAATTAGCTAGGTGATGTATTAATAATGGGTGCACCCAGATGAGATTTTAGTTTTGCACTTGCCTTGTTCCATTGAAGGAATTATTGGGAATGAAAGGACAATAACCTCTCTTTGGAGCACCCGTCTGTTTTCCAGTTTCTTAATTACTGCAAAATATGATGGAATAGTTGCACGGTGGCTTCTTGCTGAAATTTAAATAGCATCAGATATTTGACTGCTGTGCTGTCAAACTTTATTTAATTTAATTTAATTTAATTTAATTATTTATCTTATTTTCATGTATTACACTAAACTCTGGCTTAGTGCCGTGCACAGATTGAGTCACCATGATTTGTGAACTGAGGCCCAGGGTGGAGTGTGTTTTATGGAACCCACCAATGGTGGCTTATTAAAAAAAGCTTGGTTAAACAAACCACAAAGTTACGGCACTGTGGGTTTGCAGCACTGATTTCAGCGCAGGTGAAGGTTTTGTTCTGCTGTGGTTCTTATTCTTAAGGGGTTTCGTATGCTGCTCTGAATGTTTCAAACTGTTTTATTGTATTCCAGGTAGACCGCCAAGAGCCTTTAAGATCGTGGCAGGGCAGAAATAAATGCATCTTAACAGATTTAAAAATTTTAAATCTATCCAGTCTTAGCAGACCCAAGATACTGTAGCATAGTTTGGTTGCTCGAAAAACCAGAAACTGTTGTAAATGAAAGGGGGATGAAAGGAACCTGCTAGGCTGTAAAACGGGACATAAACTTCCGCATGATCAAGAAAGAATGGAAATGCTTAGATTAGCATTAAAAGCATTAAAAGTTGGACAGTTGGGTAGCCTTTGTGATAAATAGCGTTGTGATTTTTCATCACGCATCGTAAGCAGACTGCAGTCTTCTGTACGTTTTAGGCAGCTACAGTGAAATTGGCTGAAGGACACTAGTTATTTGTATTTTATCAGAGTAAACAGTATGATTCAGAAAAAAATTTGCACAGTTGTCTTATTTCTCTCACGCCTCTCCAGCGATGCTTTTGCTTTTGATTTGGGCCTTTTGCTTCCAAAAAGTCCAGATCAGCCCCAATTCAGTCTGGGTTTTGCAGCACTGAAGAGATCTTTTTCCTACAGCAATGCTTGGGTGATGAATTTCAGCATTACCACCTGGGTAGAGGAGTAGGTACAATACTGTTTTCAAACAGTGCTTTTCCTTCATCATCCCCCCCCCTCCCCAACTTGTCAAAACCTTCCTCTTTTTCCATTGAGAAACCTGAAGAAGATAAAAACTCTGGTCCGGAATTGGAAAAAAATGCGCTCTGAGTGTTTTGTCTTCCCCTGCAAAAGTTCAAAATTGTGTATCTGCGTATTACAGATAATACGGGCCGTGGGGGGAATAGAGATGGAGAGGGGCTCAAAAGAAGAAAAAAAAGATTGAGAGTGGCTCCTTTGAGGGTTAATAAACTAGGATCTGCTTGGCTTAGAACGTCACCATTGCGTCACACTGTCTTTTGGTGCAAAGATGAACTGCTTGTCTTCATAAATTAGAGCAGTGTTTCTCAACGTTGGGAATTTTCAGATGTGTGGACTTCAACTCCCAGAATTCCCCAGCCAGCCATGTTGAAGTCCACACATCTGAAAGTTCCCAACGTTGAGAAACGCTGGATTAGGGAGATCGGCTGGAAAGTGAGTAGGTAAACTTGGGTTGAAATCGGAGCCCCCCAGGCATTGGCAATGTCAGATAAGAGGGATCTGGGCATAATGGAAAATGGTTAGATTGCTGCTTTGCCATTATCGGTGAGATCGGTTGAGAACTGGTAGCACGGATACCCCCTGCCTGTGGAAATGCGGTTGCTTTGAGCTTAATCGGTTTAGAAAAGACCTGTGGAAGGACGTCACGCCATTCCTCCCCTAGTTTTTGTCTGATTTTTGGATTTATTCCCTTCTCCATCCGGTCTTTTCTGGGCTCGGCCCTTAAGATTTGCTGAGAAGCCAATAAGGGAGGTGGGTTTTTCCTTTCCCCCTCTGTAAGTTTGTGTTTTTTGAATGCAGGGTCAGCTTCCTTTGGGGAAATACATAATCGTCGTGTGGGGTTTGCTCTGCTAAGGGGCTTGAGCCCTTATTCCAGATGTCTTGGAAATACCTGCCAGGCTGGTGCGGAAGGCCACGTGTCCGATGTGTAGGTTTAATGGATGAAATGGGACGATCTCCTGCATTCTGAATGCTGCCCGGGGTATGCTGTGGCAGGAGATTAATGCAGCCAGCAGCCTCTGGATGGCTGCCTGTTCGGGGGACAGGTGAATCAAACCGAAAAGAGTGCCAAAGGTGGCTGGAGTAAAGTTGCAAAGTACAGAATCCAACTTTCCTGCTGCAGGATTCTTGAAGCTGCTTGAACTGTGGCGAGATTGCATCGGAGGGAACTGGCGCAGAGGGGCTGTTGGTTCTTTTTTTTTTTTATTAATTATTTTTTATTATTGAGAGGAAGGGAAAAAAACACATAGGAAGTGGTTTAACAAAAAAGTGAAAGAAATACCACAAAGGAAAGAAACGTGTTAAAATGTCATTATAACAGTCGACAATTACAATTCTGTATCTACTTATCTAATGCAAATATTATTCAAGGACATATATATTTCTAATGTTTGTTCTTATTATGAGGCCCCCGACTGGTGGTGAACAATGAAAAACCAGATATAAAAACAATTAATCAGAAAAAATGCAGCGATTAACCTTAAAGCAGTGTTTCTCAACCTTGGTAACTTTACGTTGCATGGACTTCAACTCCCCACAATCCCCCCCCCCCCCCCCCCC